CACATAATTATAAGTGTTGCGATCGCATAGAACAATAATTTGCAGCCCAAAAGTTCTCTAAAGGTCACAATGCGACCGCATTGGATTTGAACTATGTGATCACATGGAACAATCATTTTTCCGTCAGACAGCTTTCAGTATTTTGATCGTAACTTTCTTTCTCGATGTCCGATTGAGGTGAATCAAAGTGCGTTGGAAAGATAACTCAAAGGGTTACAACTTTTCTTCAGATGTCATCTTCCAATTCAATCGTTTACCATGTCAAAAAGGGTCCCAATATGATGTTGAAAACCGGTCTATAATCTTTTCAATTAGAAATTGATGTGTGATTATACTTTGATTGTATATCATCCCTTTGACTTCTTTTCTTATCCACTTAACCTCTAACACTCTTGAATCTTCATCCCATTGCTTGTCTCATCTAGGGATTATTTGAAACTTGGTTCCTGAGCTTTCATCTTCTCTTTTCTTGATCTCTTTTTCTTGTTTTCCTTCTTCCAACACTTTAAGTCTTCCATCAATCGACCTTCAAATCTTTCACTCATTCGTTTAGCCTTCCAATTCAACTTTTGAATAATTACAATTTAGTCCTTGAACTTTTGATTTCTTTGATTTAGGTCTTTTTCGCTCTTTCCTTCTATTTTATGTCATGATCATCCAAATGCAACATAAATCACAATATAAGGTTACTTAGCATATTTAGGTGTTAATTAGTCATAAAAATGCAAGAATTAATAGATGTAAATCACAACATTTCATGTCTTATAAGCAATTCAACCCTTACAACGCTTTCAATGACTTACAACTCAAGGAGCTTTGATCATTTTACAACGTTGAGCTTTCCAAGACCTAAACACCACCCACAATCAAAAACAAGAAAGTGAAATATTACAAGTGAAAGGCGCTTTACTCTTAATAAATGATATAAACTTAATTAAGTATCAAGAGAGAAGTAGGTATAACACTTTAATAAATTGCAAAGAATAGAGTTCAAGTATTAGTTGAAAATTTTTAATTGTGATAAAAAAAAATTATAAGTTTTGATCACTTAAAAAGTTTTTCTTTTAAAGATTGAAAACTAAGGTAGAAAAAATCAATAAATGCCTCAATTAAATGCTCAAGAATTGTTGTTGCAAATTTGGTAGAGAGTGAGGCATTTATAGCAATCAAACGGTCAAAAATTCTGTCAATCCGGACATGGGATCCGGACGAAAACTAGCCATTTGAAAAACAGTAGAAAAAATCGACCGTTGGAGGCCGTCCAGATGGGCAGTAACATGCCCCTCCCGACTTTCCTTCGTGATGACAATCATCCATGTAGTTCATTGAAGGATTTTCTCATATGTTTTGTATAGATAAGTATTTTTTGTAAAAATTTAATCGCAAAAATTGTAATGCTTATCTTTTCAAATTAATTTTCATGCAAATATTGTTTGTCGTGAAAGTGTCTCGTGCATAAAAATTGTTTGAGCTATAATCAATGCGAAATATTGAACGTTTTATCTTTACATTTGAGTTAAAAAACGCATCTATAGCTAAAGGCTTCAATCTCGTCTTCCAATGCGATTCTTGACGCAAAGGCTCGATTTCCATTTCCACAATTCCACGTTCATCAATCTTGATCATCATCCTCCAATAACGTTCGTCATATGCATGATTCTGAATCTCAATTATTGTGTCTTGATCCTTAATTTTACGATAATCACTA